CGGCCCAGCCCCTGAGGTGGCGGCTGATGCGGCCCGTCCAGCGGGATTGAGGGTCTACGGCCACCTCATACGGGGGTCGCGCGTCGAGGGCAACGGCTCCGAGCCCCCCCTGGTCTGCTCAGCGTGCTGGGGGTACTGCCGCCTCCCCAGGCGCGCGCATCGCGGCCTGGCCATGCCGTGCGGGGCCAGCGCGGCGGCTGGGCAGCCCACGTCCCTGAGGGGCTCCCGAGCCCAGGCGCGGACGGACTTCGCACGGGGCACCCTGCCTGCGTCCAAGGATCCGTTCGCGCCGCTGGCCCCGCCGATGGAGAGCACGCGCCTGTGCTGGGCGACGGCGCTCCAGGCCAGGCTGGGCCACGGGGCGGAGGAGCAGGCGCTCGCGGCGGCGCCCGTGCCATCGCAGCGGCAGCCTGCGGCCGCCCCGCCCCCGCCACCTGCGGCTGGCGATGGGGGCCAGGCGGCAGCGCCGCCGTGCGCCGCGGCGCCGCGGCGCCTGGTCGCGGCGGCCCCGCGGGCGGAGGTCGAAGAGCCGCGGCAGGTCCGCCCAGGGCTCGAGGGCGTCCTCTGCGCCCGCGGCTTCGCAGTTGCTGCGGCGGCCCGCGGGCGCGAGAGTGCCGCGGGGTCGGCGGCCGCCCGCGCGCGCCGCGCGGCGGGGCTCGCGCGCTGATTGGAGAATTTATGCATGAAACCGCCGAGCCCGCTCGGCGCCCACATAGATAAAAAAAATGCCCCCGCCGAATTCCGTAGCCATTTTGGCTCAAGCCGGTCTCAAGCCCCTGGTTGCCATCTGCCTCCGCTCATGGCCGGTCCGGGTGCAGCAGCTGCTTGAGGAGATGGTGGCGGGAGGGGGCCCCCGCAGGTCCCCACGCTCACGCGCGGAGCGCAGCGAGGCTGCGCGGCGGGCGCGCTCGGCGGCGGACGCCGCCGTGCGGCATGCCCGAGCGCAGGTGGAGGAGCTCGTGGAGCGGCTGGCCCTCGCCGAGAGGACGCTGGAGGCCTTCGCGGGCGATGCTGAGCTGGCCGACAGGCTCGCCGCGGTGGTGCCTGCGCTGGACGCGCTGGTCAACGGCGAGCAGCCCTCCTGGCTGGCGCGGCTCAGGAGGAACGTCGCGCTGCACGCCGAGGCGGGCGCCATCGAGGGGCGCATCGCAGGGGCGGCGGCGAACGAGCTCAGGAAGGCGCAGAAGCAGGAGCGCCTCGGGAAGCCCCCCTTCCTCAACCCCTCGGCGACGGAGGAGGTGCACGAGGACAAGGCGGGGGCCGCGCAGAAGCAGGGGCATGCGGCTCGGCAGGTGCAGAGGATGCTGCACGAGAGAGAGCTGCCCCAGGCAGCGCCCGAGGACGTCCTGGGCGCGAACTGGCTGGCGCCAGGCTGCTGGCAGCCAGGCGACCCCGAGCTGGAGGCGCGGGCCTTCGGAGAGGGATTCGCATGTGGCTGGCGGCTGGCGGCGCGGCGCGCGGAGGCCTCGGAGGGTCCCCCTGCGGCTGAGGCCACGCAGGTGGTGACCATCTGGACTTGCTGTCTGGAGGCGGGGACGCGGCCCGAGATGCACGGCATCGGGATCGAGTTGCGGCGCCTCCCCAAGGACAACCAGGCCCCGCCCGAGCCCACGGCGGCGAGCGACCACTCGATAGAGTACGGCGTCCGCCTGGGCCCCACGCAGCGGCAGCAGGGCATCGACGGCGATGGCGAAGTGCTGCCGCTTGCGGCCGAAGGCGGGAGCGGCGGGCCGCAGCTCGAGGGCCCCCAGGGCGCTGCGGCCGCCCGCGCCCGCGACCTCGCCGAGCTCTACGCCGCCTTCTTGGAGGAGATCGGGCGCTGAGCGGTGGCGGGGCCCTTGAATGCCTGCATGAAACCGCCGTGCTCGCGCGGCGCCTACACAGATAGAAAATGTCCCCACCGAATGTACCGATGAGAGACACTTGACGCGGCGCATCCTTCTGCCGCGGCGACCCGCGGTTGGGGCGATCCACGGCAGGGGAGAAGACGTCGCCAGCTGCAGGGCTGGCGCGAGGACGGGCGCTGGCCAGCCGAGCTGTCGGGGGTGGATAGTCCTCCTACCCTGACACGTCGATTAGCGAATTAGCCGTTTTCGGTTAGCGAGAGGGCGTCGCGGCCGTCATTTTTGCGGGTCCAGGTCCGTCGGTTTCGGTCCTAGGCCGTTTCCATTCAAGGGAGGTTTACTAAAGGGCGGTTTGTCCACCGCCGAAGCTTTTTGATTGACCGCCAGAGTGCCCACACATGCCAGGGGGGGGCCCGCGAGCGCAAAGACAGACTGTCTGCCGTCTTCACCCAGCGAGCCCGACATGGGCACTGGCGCGGGACCACCCGCAGCGTTGCACTGTCATGCTCCTCCCTGTCCGAGCCGAGGATTGGGGCGGGAAGCGGAGGAGGCGGAGGGGGAAGTCGTGGCGGCGAAGACGAGAGTGGGCCGAGCTGGTTCGTTCCACTATTACAACCATGACGAGCAAGCTCGGCAGCCTGATGTGCAAGAGGTCGGAAGATACATCTTACACACATGTGCATCTACGCCTTGCATTGCAACCGATTTGTCCTCCCCCCCTTCCCCCCTTCCTCGGAGGAGGAGGAGGAACCATGTGCAGATCCACATCGTCTCTCATCCTCCCCCCTGTGATGAGAAACAAGTGATGTAGACTCGAACTGAGATGGTGATGTTATGTGTGCTGTTTCTTTAGTCGCCCTCGCAATCACACCCCAGCGTTGTGCGCCGGCTATGTACAGATCCACCTCGTTTCTCCCCCCTCCCCCCCATCCCTATCCAAGAAAGGAAGGAAGCAGTCAGAGGAGGGAGGAAGGGGAAGATGTGTACCGGTTCGATTGCTGTGGGGCTCTTTGGGGGGGTCTGGGGGGCCTCTCGGGGCCGTCTTGGGCCCCATGGCTCAACACGAGGAGGGTCGTGGTAAATTCAGATTCCCCCGGAGGCTCCAAAAATTCATCTTGAGGCCCTCTTGGGGCACTCATGGGCGCTCTTGGGACCCTCTTGGGGCACTCCTGGACCGTGTGGATTTGCTATGGGGGGCCTGTCGTCGATCTGTCGGCGATGCACCGCAGACTCCAGCCCGACGTTCTCCCCCCTGAGCTGGCCCCCCCTCCCGGCGCTACCCCTCGCAATGCGTTTTCTTCGGGTTCTCCCTCGGGTGCACCGCCTCGTAGATCTTGGCGCAACGGGGGCCACGCATAGTCCCAGACCTCCAACGTATTGAACAAAGTCAAGACGGAGGCTATTCTCGATTTTCGGCCTCTAGGGGCCCTCGCTGGGTCCCGGGACCGTCAAAAAACGATTCAGGATGAAAACCCGGTCCTGGGGAATGGGTCGAGATTTCGGGGGACCGCGCATTGAACAAAATCACGACGTCGGATCTCTGGGGTGTTCACTCGGTCAGGCTCGTGACCGTTTTCGTATTTGTTGTTTTGCCGATCGGCGCGGGCCCTCGCCCCCGCCCCCCCCCCCGTGGAGTACAGCCGGGGCCCTGAAGAAGGAACCCTTTTCGGTGGGGAGGGGCTCGGTGCTCCTTGATTGTTCGACAGTTTGCCTTCTGTTTTCCTGAAGTTTCCCTTGGGAAATCGAAGTTTAACTTATGGAAAAGAGGGGCCTCGTTCCTTATTTAGGGTTCCTTGGGTCAACGCCCCGACTGTAGATCTTGGGTGTTGCTGGCGCCTGTCTCAGGCGGGCGGAGGCTCCCCCATAGGACACACACTGGTGCAACCCGTCGCCTCCAGCAGAGGTCCGGAGGCAGACCTCCCCCTTTCTTCTGCCCAGGGCTCGGGCCGGACGAGAGGGGGGGGTAGGGAAAGGGGGGGGGGTGCGACATCTGCTGCATGCAGCTGGTATCTTACCAGTTTGAAACATATCCTTATCCCCATGTTTGACATCACCCCACCTCGATGCCGATCTTAAAGATGCCCTCGGTTTCTGAGGGCCTTATCCCTAAGATTGTCCTCGTTTTTTGCTCGCCCATCTTAGGGATATGGATAAGTTCGAGGCTGGTTAGTTGCGGCCCCATCGAGGGGCTCATTCCTCGATGCATGGCCGCCTCCCGGCGCTGGGAGGCGCCGGGAGGCCCCCATTTGCCCGGCCCGAAAGGTCGAATCGCCGAATCTGAAAACGTTTGTTGTGGGCTGCAGTCCTGCAGGCCTCTCTCGGGGGTGGACAGAACCCCCAACAGTGACACGTCGATTATTGAATTGTCCGTTTTCGGTTCTCGAGAGGGCGCCGTGGCCGTTATTTTCCAGGCTTGCGCCCGCCAGGTTTGGGCCTCAGGTCGTTTTCATTAATCCACGTTTTACTAAAGGGGGTCTGTCCATCCCCGACTCAGAGCCTTCCCAGGTCCTCCGGGACGCCCTCCCGGCAGATTCTTGACATGGCCCCGAATCGCTGCTTTCGGATGTGTGTGCTGCCAGCTGCTCCCAGGTCGGAGGAGCAAGAGCACCCCCAGGGGTTCCACCTCCAGCGAGGAGGTCCACGAAGACTCTCCGAGCTGTGGATGGGGCACGTCTTGAGCCAGAGAAGGAAGCCACACCAGCAGGATGACCCTGCCGTTCGCCTCGCGCTGGTGGTGTTGGTGGTGGCGCCTTTCCCCGCTTCCACTGACTTGGCTGCGAACCTCTGCTCTCAGATGCTCATGTGGCCAGCTGCTCTTCGGAAACAAAAAAGAAGCATTTCTCACCGTGGTCGGAAACTGGAGCATGAACCTTGACAGTGGCGGGCTGTTATTCAATTCCAGGGCTTCTTGAGGGTCGGGGACGACGTCGGGGCGGTGTGGCGTATGCTTGTTTTGTCCGTTCCCCAGGATAAGCAACAAGCAATGTGCACACGGGGATCCCGTATACACCAGGATCCGCTATCCTGTGCAAACTTCGGTGCAGGGCCGCAAAAAGCGTCGGTGTACAGAGTTCGGTTCCCCACTCGGGGCCTCGCTCCGAGGACTCACGAGACGATCGGGGGGCGAGCACCGCCAACCGCGCGCGCGCGCCGGAGTGCCACGTGAGCTGGCCGTGTGTTGACGACGACTACCTGGGGGACGGCGGCTACAAGCGCGTGGGGCGGGGGCCGGCCGGCGGCCGCGGGGGGGGGGAGGGCCGGAGGGAGGGGAGGCACCCGGCAGGAGTCGGCAGGCTCCCGATGCATGCCGCTGACCGCGCGTGCCGCGGATGACAGAGGTGAGCACACCCTCCCCCCCTTCCTGCCTCCCTGGGCAAAGACGCCGTCGCTCCAACTCAGGAGGGGAAAAACACACAGACACACTTAATCGTCGACTCCCCAGAAAATATGGGAAAATATGGGAAGTGGGGGGAAGACAAAAACCAGGAAAACATGGGAAATGATTGGGAATCTCTTTATTTGTGTGTGTCTTTATGTGTGTGTCCCAGGGCCCCTTTACTTCCTGCCTCCCTGGGCACAACCGCCGTCGCTCCAACGCACGCGCGCGCCCATCCTCGCAACGGACGGGCGGCCTTTCGCGGCAGCTGGCCAGCGACCCCTGTCGTGAGAGGGCGCCGGCTGCCAGGCGGCGCGGCGGCCGGCGTGGCGCGGAGAGCGCGCGGCGCCTCGCCGGGCGGCGCCCGAGCGCAGCGGCGGCTCGCTGCGAGGCGTTGCGCGGCGAGGCACGCGGCGATGGGCGGCGCCGGGAGATCGAGCGGAGCGTTGTGGATCCGGAGGAGAAGAAACACACAGACACGAGTAGTCGTCGATTCCCAAGAAAGCATGGGAAAAATATGGGCAGCGGGGGGGAAGACAGAGACCCAGAAGATATGGGAAAATATGGGGCATCTTTTGATTTCTGTGTGCTTATTTGTGTGTCCTGGGGCCCCTTCAGTGGAGGACGATCAATGGAGAGGAAGCATGTTGCCAAATAGTTGGCAGATGTCCCAAAGTTGTTTCAAACATGTCTTAGATATGTAAAACATGTGTGAAACAGTTTGAGAACACGTTTACGCATTTAAAACACATGTTTGATTCGATGATGGGACTGTTAGGGTGTCCATTGTCGTGGCATCCGCAACCGGAGCGCGGGGGACAGCAGCGCTGGGAGGCTGGCAGGAGTCGGGAGGGGGAAAAACACACAGACACAGCTATTCGTCGACTCCCCGGAAAAATGTGGGAAACCGTGGTCAAATTGGGAGGGAATCGGAAGACCCAGAACATACGTGAAAATCTGGGGAATCTTGGGATTTGTGTGTGTATTTGTTTGTGTGCCCCTGGGCCCTTTCAGAGAGGGAAGCATTGTTTCTCGGTCGGTCGGCCCCCCCCCGACGAGGAGGTGCGCTTCTCCTCGGGGGGGGGGGCACGCAGCCGCGCCAATGTTGCTCCCCCTGGAAACGCTCTCGCTCGCTCTCTCTCTCTCTCTTTCTCCTTCTCTCTCTCTTTCTCTTTCTCTCTTTCGCTTCATATTTATCTTTCGCTATCTCTCTTTATATTTCTCTCTCGCTCTCTTTCCCTCTTTTTTTTGTTCTCTCTCTCTCTCTCTTTCTCCCTTACCGCCCGGTCACTCTGAACAGCTAAGAAAAGCATTTTGTTTGGTCCCGTTCGGAGTTGAGGTAGGCGCGAATATGATGGGCTGGCGGCACGCATGAGATAGGAGGAGGGCGTAGGTGATAGACGGGGCAGAAGAAGGATTACATAGGATCAGGCAGGACGATGAGCCGACGCAGGCAGGGGGGATACGAGGGAGGAGGTTGAACACTAGGGGAGGGGAGAGGAGGGGTCTGCGTGGCCATACTTTAATCCAACATTCATCAACCATGCGGCAGTGCACTCTCCCGTCCCAGGGCGCCTCTTCGTAAGTCTTGACAAGCCTTCCTTTCCACGAGGAGAAGCGCCTCCGTGAGCTGCCACAACCCCGTGGGCCTGCGAACAATTTTTTTTGCACATGGATTGCGCTGCGCCTTTCCGTTGAATCGTACGGCAGCGGACACCGCATGATCGTACGAATCAGTTCGGTGCCCATCGATGCCACGGTTTGAGAACCGTTCCAGAGTTCACCAACCACCAAACCTCCCCAACCCAACCCGAAGGCCTCAATTTGACCTCCATTTCCAGTGGGGGGGGGGTTCGGGGAACATGGAGAAAGCACGCGTGGAACCCGTACCCCCCCCCAAAAAAAAAACCCGAAATTCAGGTCTTCGGGTCGGGTTGGGGTGGTCTGCTAGGTAGCCAAGAAGGTTGCACCTGCGTGCATGCGCGAGCGGTTCCTTCTTGGCCGTGCGCTCCGAGGAAAGAGCGCAGGCGGCAGCCCCACGCTGGAGCAGGAGCCGCCCTCCGCCCGTGCCGCTGCTGCACGTGCTTGTTTTTGTTGTTTGTTGTTTTACCTGGTCTTACATAGCCCAAGGAAGTTTCAACCAATGACCCTACAGGGCCGTTTTTCAATACATGCTCCGCGTGCGGATCATGTGTGAAACATGCAGGGATTTAGTATTTAAAAACAACGATGAGTATTTTAAAAACAACGATGAGTTCATGCAAAAGTTTATAAGTACATGAATCATGTATTTAAAATATTTTATCCAAAAATTGTATGTATCAAGTTAAAAACTGCCCTGTATTGTGAAGGCAATTCTGGAGAATCGTACGGCAACGGACACTGCATGCTCATACAAATCAAGTCGGTGTCCGTCGTTGCCACGGTTTGAGAACCGTTCCGGAAGGATGCACCTGTGTGCATGCGTTGGGATGCAGCTCCTGGGAGGTCACATTCTGATTTTGCCCTGGTCCGAAATCCGGCTCAATCCCGCTTGATCCCGCTCAATCCCGCTTCATGCCGTTCAATCCGGCTTCATCCCGCGGAGTCCCGCTTAATCCGAGGCCCACTCCGGCGTAATGGCTCCCAAATGGGGCTTAATCCTCCTTATACAAGGGCTCCCTCGAGGGCGCGAAGTTATTCGCGCTTCGCGGTCCTCGTTCCTTCTCCCCCTCCTCCTCGTCCTCCTATTCTCCCTTTGGGAGGGCGGCGCGAGAGCGCGAAGTTATTCGCGCTTCGCGCTTCGCGCAGCGCGAAGCGCGAAGTTGGGAGCCCTAGTTATATCTGTCCGACACAAACCTCCCAGTAGTTGCCTCCTAGCGTGCGCGAGCTGTTCCTTCTTGGCCGTGCGTTCCGAGGAAGGCGCAGGCGGCAGCCCCTCGCTGGAGCAGGAGCCGCCCTCCGCCCACGCAGCTGCTGCACGTGCTTTAAAAAAAACTGGTCTTACATCGCCCAAGGAAGTGTCAATCCAGAACCCCATACATTGACAGGCAAGGCAAGCCCAGGAGTTCCAACAGTAACCCCACAACCCCATGAGTTCCAACTAACAACCCTATTCTGAAGGCACCGTTGTCCACCCATACGTTGACTGCAGGGTTCAAGCGCGAATTTGCACGACGTTAGGGGCGAGAAACACATTTGGGAAACGGCCCCCCCATCCATCCCTGAAGCGGTTGCAAGTGGTTAAGACGAGCGCGCGCGCAGCGCTAGACCAATCAATTGAATTTGAATATGGCTCCCCTCAATATATTAGATTGCCGCGCGCGGAGTGATATTCTTGTGCGCCGCGCCAACACGGTAACTCTATTTTGGCAGCGCCTGTCTTCATCATTTTGGAACGTTCAAGATCCAGGATCATACATACAGAGGAGGTCTTTGCCACCCTGCCGACACGCCAGGTGGCAACACGAAGAGGAGTTGTTGATAACAGAGAAACGAAGTGAGGACGTGGGCAGGAGAAATGGAAATGCAGTGGGGGTGGGCACAACGAGGGGGGAGGACGTACAGTGGGCCCGGATTAGTAGGTCGACCCTGCCAGCTCAAGGGTACCCTGGTGCCCTGTGCCTCGCGACACGTGCCTTCTTACACTCTTATGGCGATGTTGCCCCTGGAAGGGTCTTGTTTCCTCTCGCGTGTCCTGGCCAATCAAGGCCGACTGTATGAGGCAGGTAAGGCAGGATGCTGAGGGAAGATGGGGCAAGAGGTACCAGCGAGCATCAGGCGGGCAGGTTGACGGTGGAGCGCACGTGGGGCAGTAGGCGGCGATTTGCCCATCTTGGCGCGCGCACACGCGCACACTCGCACGCACACGCGCACGCACGCACGCACGCACGCACATACATACACGCACATGCACACATGCCTCACACCTCATACCTTACACAGATCGTGCCCCCACGCTCCCTGACGGCAGTTGTGGGCACATGTGCCCGCCCGTGAATGCCGTCACACCATTCAACGGGTGCGGAAAAGAATATGAATGACACGCTGCCATTGGGATCCCCTCAGCGTGCTTCTCCTCCGATGTTGTCTGAAGGCCTGGTGACTCCTCAGCAACCAGGCTCATGGGTTCCACTCGGCGGCCTGTCGACGGTGCGCGTTTGCCCTCCCCGAACACACACGGATTGTGCACCACGGCCCAAGTGGGGCGTCCTAGGGTCCTAGTGTTTTGATCGACCGTTTCGGCAGACGCCTCAACCGGATCGTGCACCACCGGGAGCCCCACCTCCCCCAACGCCCATTTCACGTCGGCACCCCCCCTCACACAGCTCGTGTCCCATAGGGCGGTCTGGCCCCATTGTGATAATCATTGTCATGGGGCCATCCAGTTCCATTACTGCGATCAGGGTCAGGAGGATTACTGGGGAGCAAGAGTGGGATGAGGAGGTCGGTGAGGATCAACCGCATCAACCAGGAAGAATGACGAGGAGGAGGAGGGGAAGGAGGAGGAGGAGGAGGAGGAAGAGCAAGAGGAGGACCAGAAACTCTGCATCGAGACGATCGCGACTTTGGAGTCCGGGGCCCGCCTCCCCCCCTCAGAGGACCAGCCCCTCCAAAGTCCCCCAACTCTTTCGGGGACGCCCAAAGCGATGCGGTGACCACACCGCGTGATGGAGTCCGTGGGGATTCGGGAGGGCCGCACGGTTTTGGCCTCGGGTCCTTCCCCGAGACGCCTCGGGCGATCGGGGCCGTCAGGGTCCCAAAACCGTGCGCGTCGACGGGTCGTGCGGTGCGTCGAGGTCTCTGAAGATTTCTCGAGATCGCCGCTTTGGTCTGTCGCCGCACCGTTCTTCTGCGTCTCCGTCGCCTGGCCGCCTCGTGGTTCCCCTCTCGCTGCTTCGTGCCGCCCACCGCGGCGGCTCCCGTCGTCCGCGGGAGGGGTCGGGGAGACGGGGCGGGATCGGGGAGGAGGGTCGGGACGGGGGCAGCCCAACAGGAAAGGGAGGTGGCGCGGCAGCCCTGGCAGCAGGGCGCAAACTGAGAGCAAGGGTTGCGCGCGGGTCGGCGACGGGCCCCGTGTCCGTGCCGAGTCCGCGCGCCCCGTGGCCAAATCGGGCGGCACCGGCGCCATGCTTCGAGGGTTGCCTTCCCCGATCCGCGGATCTGGCGCCAGAGCCACAGGCACCGTGAACAGGGGAACAAAAAGTGGCATAAGCATAAAAACTCGGAGGTCCGCGCGGATTTCGCGGATCGCTGGGGCCCCCCAGCGGCGCCTCCGGCGCCGCCCCTGGCGCGCTCCGCGCGCCAGGGAGGGGGTCCAGCGCCGATCCGAGAACTCCGCGCGGACCTCCGAGTGTTTATGTTTATGCCACTTTTTGTTCACCTAGTGAAACCGAGAAGGAGGCCCTGTTGGCCTCGGCGGCGCTGTGGCTGCACGCGGCACGCCGCGTGCGGCTCGCCCCTGCTCCTGCCCGCGGGGCCCGGCAGCGCAGCTGCAGCGTGCGGGGGGCTGTCCCCGCTGTCCCGCCCGCCCGCCCCGTGGCCAAAATCGGGCCATGCTTCGAGGGTTGCCTCCTCCTCCTCCCTCCTCCCTCCTCCTCCTCCTCCTCCTCCTCCTCCTCCTCCTCCTCCTCCTCCTCCTCCTCCTCCTCCACAGGCACCGTGAAGCCGAGAGGGAGGTCCTGTTGGCCTCGGCCGTGTGAAGTTTCCCGTCGGCGAGGACCATCGAGGAGCATCCTCGATCGTTTGGCGAAAGAACCACGCGCGAAACCGAGCAAAAAAACACAGGGAAGGGACGTCCGAGCGATGGCCAGGAGGCACTCGGCCCCTCCTGTGCGGGCCGCGGGCCGGTGATGGGGAGGATCGCGGACCAAGCAGCCGCGGGTCTGCAGGCGGGCCGCCATGTTGACAGTCCTGCGGGGTCAACGCAGGCGCTGCCAACTGGATGACACCCTTCGCCTGGGGACACTCCCAACCCGCATGGCGGAGGGTGGAGGGGAGATAGCTGCGTGGTATCGGACCCCGGTCCGTTCAACCTCTGGACCGGTTGTGGAGGTCGCCGCGGCGATCGTGACGGCCACACATCGGGGCAAGATTGTTGCCCACGACTGACAGGCCCCATCCCAGCCCCCTCCCCCGGCTCTACGATGCAGAGGTGGCTTATGCTTCACGATCTAGCGAACAAAAGTGTTGACAATGTATGTCCAACATGTCTACTAGCACGCAATTGGGAGGGGGGAAGGGACACAGTGGGCTTGCAAGGGTTGAGTGGCGGTAGGCAGACGCCAGCGGCGGGGTGGGGTACGTGGAGGTGCTGGGCGGGCGGAGGGGTCGGGGGGGGCTCGGACGATTCCTTAGTCTGCTGGGGCCATTGCCAGACCGTTGGAGGCAATCGGAGGCGGAGGAGGAGGAAGAGGGGGAAAAGGTGATGAGAATGATATGGACGACGAGGAGTACAAAGACGACGAGGAGTACAAAGACGATGGGATGGGGAGGACGCGGTGGAGGAGGAGGAGGAGGAGGAGAAGGAGGAGGAGGAGGAGGAGGAGGAGGGCGAGGACGACGAGGACGTGGGCGACGACGACGAGGACGTGGGCGACGACGACGAGGACGACGACGACGAGGACGACGGCGACGAGGACGACGACGACGAGGACGACGAGGACGACGACGACGACGACGACGACGAGGACGACGACGGCGACGAGGACGACGACGAGGACATGGGCGAGCGTCATGGGCAGGAGGCGGAGGTGGTGGAGGATGCGGAGGGGCAGGGTCCTCCTCCACTGCGAGGCCCAACTACGACGAGCCATGCCCCAACTCGTGGAGCTTCCAGCAGGACGGCAGTTGCGCGGCGTCTGGCATCTACGAGGGGCCGTGCGTGTCCCAGAAGAGCTTCCTGCATTTCACGCCCTCCATGAAGGAGGGGCCATTGAGCAGCAGAGAGGCGGAGGCAGGAGGGGGAGCCGAGGCGGAGATTTATCCATAACCACCGTCCGGGGGATCATCTTCGGGGACGTCGGCAGGCGGTGTATATTGATATTTTGCCCCTCCCCCCCCCCCCCCACCCCCCCAAGGTGCGAGTCTATGGATATTCTCCTCCTGCCGACGCCCCGAAGATGATCCCCTAGGCGGTGGTCATGGATAAGTTTCCGCCACAGAGAGGGGGCCACACTTTGACAAGCAACCGCTCTCCGTCCTTCAAATGGTTGCAAACTTGTATGACTGATGTGCGCGGCGCTAAAGCGAGAGCCACATTTTGAAAAGGATCCGCCCGCCATTCGCAAAATTGCTGCCAA